GACACTGCCTTATTTGCCTAATTTATATCATGAATATGCTCTATGAACCTTTGGGCTAAACTTCTTCTGTCTTCTTACGTACTCAAGCCCAAGCCTTAATTAAGTAGTAAGTCCTAATTACACTCACTTGACTCACTAGTCACTACACATAGTCTCAGGCTTTCATAGTTATTCATAGAGTTCAAAATTAAAATACTACAGATTATAAATTAACTAAATTTCTTACAAATCATACATTCTTTTTTACAAATCATACATTTGTTATCTTTATTGTCCTGATAAGTTAACCAACTTCTTTCACTTCAGTACTTCAGTAGAAAATTTGTATAAAGGGAAGTCAGTCCCGCAAAAATATATGTATCTTTTCGGCTTTTATAATTACATTAAAATTAATATTATATTCCTTTGGCTTTATTGATAAAAAGTATGCATTAATGAAGAAATAATTTAGGAAAATAATATTTATCATTTTATTCATATGCTACTGATTTTTTTTTAAATAATCGATCCAATAAAATAATAAACCAAATAATAAATTTATTATTATTATTATTTTTTTTAATAAAGATGCTGTATGAGACATACAATTGGTAGGAAAGTGAGCACCTTGTTATTTCAATTTTCAAGCGTTTATTGAAAATAAATATTTAAAGGTTGGGAGAGCGCAGTCTCTATTATTTTAATCCCCACCCCACACCCAACAAAAAGGCAGAAACAATCTATTAGCGAAACTGCAATGCAGCCTATTAAAGAGAATACATAAAGAGAAAAATAAGCAATTTAAAGTATATGTAGTGGGCAAAAAATGCCGCCCCCTCCCCCCCCCCCCCAACAAAAAAAAAAAAAAGATTCCGGGCGCCCTCTCCTTAAGCCCGTGGAAAGTTGGCTTTAACAACATGTTTTGATCTGACATGGCTGTGGGGAAAGTTTTAGAATGTATTGCAACTATGGGTCAAGTCCTGGGGAGGAGGGAGGGGGCGGGGGTGGAACTCACCCCCAATACCCCACAATCACAACGCCCAGCCCCCATATGTAGACTCCCTATTTCTTAGCACACAAAAATGTAGCCTACAGGACAGCCCAGTGCGACATGGCATGCGCTATTGGCAAGAATATCCCGGGGTTAAGTAGGCGTATTGACCAAGTACGCTATTTTCATGTTCGCTATTCACAGGTTTCACTGTACTTCAAACTGAAAAATTCGAAAGATCACTTAGATCGATTTTGTATAACACCGCTATTCACCTTTGCCTATGACAACATTGATGAGCATGATAATGATAAATCAAAATTAATATCACAAATGAAAAAACTGAATAAACTTAGCGCTCCAAATTTTATTTTTGAAAAAAAAAATTAAAACAAAAATAATGATATAAAATATTGACATCCAGTTTTTCTTCCACAAAACTGTTTAAATTTGCTTAGGCCTAAATCAAATGTAATTTCTTTGGAAATATAGGACAAGTTGGTCATCATGCAGCATTTGGACAGTTTTCAATGAGTAGGCCTATTAATCATATAACATGCGATGACACCAAGATGTCGAGCAATAATGAATATCGGATTGTCGTCCTAGAGACAGACAGTCTGACTTCTGGTAGATGACCGAAAACGATTTTAATAAGGATTCTTTGATACTGCATCTTATTTCTACGATTTACACAATTATGGTTGTGCATTACCCACCAACTGACCTTTTAAAACTTTTCTCAAAACCGCACTCTTGCCATGTTTGTATCATAAAATGCTATAAAAAAAAAATTAAAAAACTTTTAGTCCGATTTTAAAACTGTTATTACCCTTATAAACAACATAAAAATATATAGAAACATAATAAAAATCAGAATTAGACTAATCAGTGAGATTCGACTGAAACGATCGCGGAGGGTCACATGATATGATAGATATTATTATGAGAATTGGGGAAAACGCGGGAAATTGGGAATGGGGACCTCCTGTATGCAGACGACTATGCCCTAAACGCTGTATCAAAGCAGATATGTAAAGCTGTGTCACAAACTTTTCTAATGTTTGGATAGACTTCGGGCTCACCATTAACACAAAAAAAGACTGAGGTCCTATACCAACCAGCTCCTAGAGTACCTTATGTTGAGCCCAACATCCAAGTATATGGCGGAAGACTTAAGGTTGTGAATAGCTTTTCTTATCTTGGCAGCACGCTGTCCCAAAAAGCGCAACCATCGATGACGAGGTTAACCTCTGTAGTGCGAGAGCCAGTGCAAAGCAAACTGACTAAGAACGTATGGACCCAGGAGAGGTATCAGCACTCAAAATAAACTGAAATTATAGCAGGCGGCTGTTCTCCCTACGCCTCCCTTGTGCCTGTGAAACGTGGACGGTCTACCAACGCCATGCAAGAATGCTGAACCCTTTTCATACAACTAGACTCAGAAAAAATCCTCAACATTAGATGGCAGGACAGAGTCCCAGAGACTGAGGTGCTCACACATTCAGGTCTCCCCAGCATCTTTACCATCTTAATTAAGTCTCTGCCTTTTGGCCAGGGTGGTAGTGCATGATTTAAAAATAGCTAATCTTGTTGGGTTGTATTTGATTTATTGTCTTCATATCTGGCCATGGCCAGGACGATCGGTGGAATACTAGGAAGGTTACCTGGGTGGAGCATTTAAGTGTAAATGTTACTTAGGGTTTCTCATTTCTCTTTTATCTGATCAAGATAAAAATAACTCTCTTTCCGGGATATAATTAATTCAATTAAAATATATTATGAACTGAATTAAACTATACAAAAGTTGTTTTGTGTGTGTGTGTGTGTGTTGGTTTGTTAATAGAAATAATTACTTAGTTGTTATCATCAAATAATGAATGAAAAAAAACGATGCTAAGGTTACTTGGGAGGTTGGTGACTTGTTATTATATAACACAAAACTATGACAATTTTACCTCCCACCCCTTACACTTCATAACGTTATATGACATTCCCATGTTGCATTTGGTCCTTGCAATGATAAATTTAACTCATTCAAGATGGTAAAGATGTCAACCAAGTAAGCTATGATCTGCAGTTCAATTTTATCAATAAAAAGTGCTTACAACTGTGGTCTTGCTTTCTGATTGAAAAACGTTTTGAGTTCATCACTACTCACTACGATCAAAAACACGTTTTCAATCTTTTCCTCACTTCGGTGTAAATAGCAGAGCATTGATTGGCACATCCAACTCTTAGCGCAGTTGCGAAAACAGTCGACTGTTTAAAGTGCTTTAATTACAAAATTGACAGAACTTATGACGCTTTTAATTACGTCTTGTAACTCTTGTGGCGGCGTCTTCGTTGCTAATATTTGCCGATTAATCAATCAGTGAGTTCCGATGACTTTTGCTGACTTACTCAGTACCAAACGTAGAAATCCAGATCGAAATCCATCTGTGCAAACACCATAAACCTTTTCCCAAGAGATCTTATGATCTTTCTTAAATAAACCAACTGTGCCAAATGCATCACGTGCAGTAGTTGTCGTTTCAAGGGGTTTGCAAAAAAGAAATTCATCTTTAAAGTCACCATCATAAACAATATTCCTCACATAAACTAGTAACTGGAAACAGTTTGCAACGTCTCTCGATTCATCGAACTGGATACTAAATATTGGAAGGGGAGCAGATTTTATTTCCTGGATTACCTGATCAAGAATATCAACAGAAATGTCATCTATTCTTCTGCGGACAGTGCAGTTACTGTTAGGTAAGGAGATTGCACTCAGTTTCGTGACAAATTCGTCTCCAATCATTATGAACATTTGTGATATGTCTGTTTTTTTTTAACCGGACCAAATCAATCGGCAATCGGTTTCTAAGACCATCGGCTTCGGAAATGGGTGTTTTCCAATGCCAATGGTCTTAGTCTTAGGCGACCCCGAGAATGTGAAAGGATCGCGCGACCCCCTAAGGGTTCGCGACCCACAGGTTGAGAACCGCTGTTCTATAACTACCAACACTGGCTGAGCTGTTAACAAGCAGTAGGCTACCTTTAGTCTTGAACGGTGTTTTATTGAGTAATTGAGTAGTAATAGTCTTAGTATCTAAAACTAAAACTCTTTGTTTACCCATATGGGGATTCCCCACACTTTTTTTTCTTATTTAGCCCGAATCGGATTTTTCCAAACTGACTAGGTGAGTCTGCAGGCAGAAACTGTGGTGGATACAAGTGAACTGGCAATGCTGGTAAACGGTATGCATATGATGATATAGTTAATGATAGTTATGTTTCGGCTTTCGTTTTAATTAAATTTAATATAATTTAAAATATTTTTTTTGCTTAGTAATTAAGATATTGCACTCCCATGAACAGTGGCATAGTTAAAGTTAAACGAAGGTTAGTGCCGCCCGGGTACGCTGAAAATTTGCAGCCCCCACTCAAAGTTTTCCCCACAAAAAAAATCTACAGTTGGCACCCCTGCCCCCCCTTCCGCCCCCCCCCCCCCTTTTACTGTCTAAAAGCAAGACTGAAAGAGTCACATCTCACGACACTCACAGTCATCCATCAGAATAATCAGTGGTACTGGTACAATATTGTCAACACAGGCCGAATTAAACTTAAACACCTTACGGATACACTGTGTTCCAGCTTATTTAACATAAATTTGTAAATTAATCGTTAATGTATTTTTTTTTTTGTAAATCGACGATGAAAGTTTTAAATCCTATTATTTAAAAAAAAATATATTACTGATAACAAGTTTAGGCCACTTCTTCTTGCATCTAACAAATAATAAATACATATCAAAATCTAATCATTTGAAATGATTTTTTTGAAGTTAAAGACTTGGACTTGGCACTTTATTACTTCATTAAAGTCACTAAATTAAAGATAAAAAATACTATCCTTCTGAGTTATTTAACATATTTTTCACACTCCAACTCCAAAATATTGGTGAAAATAAATTGTTTTAAAATACACGAGTTCACTAATTCTCTTTCTCCCCCCCCCCTCCCCCGCACCTGGCCTGGATAAGGGATGTAGTAAACGTCCTCGTTTCCGATCGAACAAAGGGAAGTAAAGCCAAAACGTTTATTACAAATATTTACTTTTTATTTTTCCTGGACAGAATTTAGAGTGTGAAAATTGGGATTGAAATGATTTTGTTAAGGTATTTAGGTTATTTAAAGTAGACAAGCTCAGAAAACCATACGGCTTCGCCAATCGGCAAATCATTCGGTAAAGTATAAATTGAACATAGTATAATTAACTTTGAAGTTAATTAATTCACTACGCACTATTTTACTTTTACAATTAATTTAAGTTAAAATGACTCTGTCTAAAATGACAATTCATATTCAGTAATAATGACAATGACTAATGTCAATAATGATATCTTACTCTTAATTTTAGTCTTAAATACAAAAGTTACTAAATAATTTAGACCTAGTCCTAGGCACTTAACTTAGATTAGACTTGGACTACTTGACTTCTACTTCTACTACTAACCTATGATTCTATGATGAAGTATGAAGACTATACTAAGGATACTTTTATACTATAAGTTAATATTATTAACCCTCTTGGGACGGAGCCTTTTCGGGGTGTAGGCCCTATGTGCCAAAAAGACTTAGCACTTTTTACGAGCTCGGCACTCGCATTGCAAAATAAATTATAAAAAATAAACTATTTTCTAAAATAGGCTTATAAAACTATATATATATTCTTGTAGGAAATTGAATGAACTAATACAGTCAAAATATTTATGAATCGAACTGAAATATCAACACTTATGCAAATGAGCTACCCTGATTTGCATAATTTATGCATGTAATTTTTTGTTAAACCTAGAATAAGCAAGACTTACTTCTACTTCTATTTCTATCAATTGTGTGAATTTTTTGATGGATGAAGCCTGAATAAGTCCTAACACTTATGTTTTTGGGAAACAAGGCCCATGGAGGCCCTTCAGACACCTCTGGCACATGGTTCTATTCCTTTTCCAGCCTCCGGCTATTTTTCAGTTGATACAGACTACAGACACTCACTATACAGACTACAGACACTCACTATAACACATGCCCCCATTTATGACCTAGGGATTTACTCTTAAGCTGGATGCTACTGATAAAGTTGTCTGCATATCTATTGGTCTCTCTCATAAACATTTGAGTGGTATTTAGTGTCATATTAGCATTATTTTTTTTTTAAGTACTCAAATGGGGTGCTTATGCCTTATTTGTAGGGCCTATTTTGTCTAAAAATTCAGAGGGGTCATCTCTGTCCAGTTTAGGACTCCTAATACTAAACCAAGAGTTCACAACATTCCCATTACCCTCATTTTGATAGTCTTCATTAATTTCCTGGTTGTTACCATCAGTTTCTGTGTCAGATTCACTGCTAGAATATCAAAATCACTAAGGATAGTTTGATCAGTGTCACTGTCAGACATTCTGAAATTTTATGATATTACTTGCCACTCACACAAAAATTCCTGAACACAATAAAAGCTAGTAAACTATCAATACAGGCCGCCATTACAATAATGGGATGTGCAGGGATATGTAAGAAGCAATCTGATTCGCTGGCACGAAGACTAGCCAGCCAATCTCGAGGCCTGAATTATCGGGCCGATAGATCGGACATCCGTCTTTTTCGCTACTCCCCCCTGGGCCGATAGATCAGCCTATCCATCCCAAGAGGGTTAAATAATAAGTAATAAATAAGACTACACTTAGTTTGTGCTTACTGTTGTGGGGTAGTCATCAGTGTAGTACACTTACTTACTACTTAGCCTAAACTAATTTAGTTAATTAAGTAAGATTATTTCCGTTAAGTCAAGTAATAAAGTTATTTTTATTAAGTCATATTTAAGCTTAAGAAGTAACATGTCGTGGTCGTCCCAACCCCCCCCCCTCCCCCCCCCCATTCCTCCAAATCCCAGGCTGCAGTGAACAACACATAATAGTATAATTTCATAATAATAATATAATATTTGTACATTTTATTCTAATAAATATGAATTAAATAATGAAGCCAAAAGAGTGCCACTCACCACAGTGACATCTGTAGGCCTGACCCTAATATTTCTAGGCCTATAAGAGGCTTTAATAATGAATTATAATGGTAAAAATACTTACTAGTAATATATCTGGACTCATTCATAATCACTGATAATATAACTGGTGATATGTGACATTGTCATTGGTGCCCTTCATGTAGTTCAGGTTTCATACTCACGATAATATTAATAGTAATAATTGCAAAGGGCCATAACTTGCTGATAATATTAACCCATGCCAATGAGTTTGACTGTACTCAATCTAATTTTTTCTAGTCAACAAGCAGCCTTCTTCCTGGCATTTTTGGGGCCTACTTGTAAGTCAGTCACTCTGCTGTCAACCAACTACTACTGTACTTAGTAAAATAAGAGCTTAAATACTAAACCAACTTATCTGTTTCTCAAATTGAGTTAGGCTAACTACTTAAACTTACGAATTACTCCAAAAATGAAAACTAGCAGTGCTAAGTCTAAATAAGTGTTTAATATCAATAGTAATAAGCCTCGTCCTAATTATTTTATAATATAATTCTTTCAGACTCATTAAATTACACTTACCCAGCTTTGGTTTTGTTAAAGGTGGCACTTGAGTTTCTTCACCTGATTGATTTCTGCAGTCTTTAACATTTGTGCTCTGTAATTTATTGCTTTTAACCTCCTATTGTCTCTATTAGTCAATAAAATTTATATAGAGTTAACTGCATATTACCTAAACACAATGTTGTTCCAACCATTGTCTTTCTTAGTGTTTATTTCAGACATACAGCATGAATTATATTGTTGAATATATACATACACAAAAATGTATTTTCCTTTCATTGATTTATTGGTAAATTTGTGTTCTGCAGATGTAAATATGTATGTAAATGGCTTTTGCAAGTCCAAGTCATCAATTGGTAACCAGTGCAACTATATTGACTAATAATGCCAGCATAAATTATGGCTCAAACAACCAGCAGCTTTTAGGTCAAATAAATACTGTTGGGGGCCAGGATCAATCGGGCCCTTTGGTCAGGTCACAGCTAGTAAGTAACAACGGAACGGTAATAACATCTGGTGTGCAGGAAACCTCTGACAACTCATCATACTCTGGAGCAAAAACAACCATGATGACGTCAGGATTTAACTTGCAAATGTCAGGACATGATGGTAAGCTTTAATTTCTTTAATTTCAACTCTCTCCCTCCCGCATAGCCCTGTTTAACATTTTAATATTTTAGGTTAAAGACACAGTCTGCCAGGGTAAAGTAGTAGGGTAAAGCTCTTTTGAAGATAAATAAAATACTGAACGTTTTTATATAGAAAGCCTATATCAGCAGAAAAAACATAGAGACATTTATATAGAGAGAAATAATATGCTACTATTTTCTGCTTCTCAGCCAACGCCAACGAGTTTTAATTTGTCCAGGGTCATCCCTAGCTATTGGTAAAAAGTTCCAGTCACTAAAAATTATGTATTTGTTTGATGCCTTGAGGAGTAATGTACCAAATCGACAAAGGAATATATTTTGCATACAAATTATTTCAAGTGTATACGTAAAATATAATTAACCAGTATGTATATATAAAGCCTGTCAAAACCAGTCACCAAGGCAATAGCTTGTCTTACCTGTGTCACACTACCTGCATCATTTAAACATAATTGTGTAGTTTACATTGCTACACGTACTCTTAAAGCTGCTATTTATTTTGAAAATAGCCATTGGGAAGTTAATCTATACTGCCACAATAAGGCTCAAGGCGTTTATGGTTTTAATTCAGTTTGATTAAATTTTAATGAAGATGGCAAAAATTGATAAACTCCTGATAAATTGATTTTATTTATTAGGTATGAGAGGAAGTAAGATGACTGATTCAACACCCAGTCTAACAGACATAACACTTGAACAGGCTGTGCAAAAGCTGCAAGAAATAGAGAATGAGAATATGGCTTTACGAGGTACCTTGCATTGTCTGTAGAGAAAGTATATTCAACAGAATATTATGATACAGAGTTTTTGTCATGATGCTGCCTGTAATTTCTTCATACTATTAAATATTTATTAGAAAATGTTTAAAATATGTAAAAATTTGTAAAAAATTTAATTCTGATTTTTAGATAACCTTCGAACTCACAATGCTGTTGTAAAGAAGCAATACGAGGCCCTTGCTGAATGGAGGAAAAATGAAAATGACAAATTTGAAAAAACAAAGGCATTGATCACAGCACTGAGAGAGGAAAACCAGGAACTTCAGGTCAAAATGATGGCCAAGAATGACAAAGAGGTTGTTACTGAACTCTTAAGTCGTGGTTGTGACTTGGTTGTGACTTTCTGCTCTAGCGGTTTTACAACTTTTTATTTTAATGTTATAATAAAACATGTTATTGCAATTTAACCAATTTATTTTTAGAAAACTGTTATTAAATTTTTATTAATATATTTTTTGTAAAAACAATGTAAAAATAAAAATAAAGGCATTTCATTTTTAGGAAGAAAAGTTTTTGCCCATAAAATATTCTAAATATATAAATCTTCTAAAACAAATTGCTTAGCTCCTTAAATTATTTGCACAATTTCAGAAAGAGCTTTTGCAAAAAGTTCTTACCTTAGAGGAAGAAAAAGCTCACATTCAACGCCAGAAAGCCATCAGTGACCAGAAGTTGTTCAATGTCCACAAAATAGCTGAGGATCAAGGTTTCAGAGGGCTGCCAAATGAGGATTTTGATGCTGGGCAAGAGGCTGATAATGTAAATGTATATTAATATATTATTTTAGCTATCATTTAAAAACTAATATATTTTTTACCATTTTAATAGCTTAAACTAAAATAACCTCATCTCATCGATGGCTTATTTCAACTATTCCAGTTGGTATTTGTCTCTACATCTGAAAAAGAGGAAGTTATAGCTAAAATGGAGGATGATCTGGCTGCCAAAGTAGAAATTATTGATCAGCTAAGGACTAACTTGCTTAAGGTAATTTAAAAAAATTCAATATTGCAATTTTTTTTGGGGTGCTATATTAATTTTCTTTAAAAAACTAATTTAATTTAAGAATATTACAAAGCCTGAAGATATTAGTGGCATAAAATATTTTTAAAAAATAGGTCAAATAGTAGCTTTCTTAAACTAAAATAAATTGCTTAACAGTTCGTACTAAATTTGTACATCTCTTTATTATCTGTGTCTCATGATCTGTCCTTTGTGTATTATTTCAGTGACTCTAAATTATGTTTTTGGGAGTAGGTAGAGTGATTCTATTTGTCAATTTAAAAGCAGTGCAACATCTTTCAACTCTCACCATCTCAGGTCACCATGCTTTTGGATTATGTAAAAAGGCTAAATTATTTTGATTCAATTTATTGTACTCATTAAGCAGCTTTCTCCTTGGCACTTTTCTGTAAGTAGTAAACTACAATACCATGAGTGTATTTCCTGCAGAAGTATTATTTCCTCGGTAATCCCTTGGCTTCCATGTTACAGAGTTGGCTCAAGGCTCTGTCTTAGGCCTAGTTAACACTTACCAAGAATCACTCAACTATGTCATGATAGTACTGTGGGGTAAAAAAAAATGAATCCCCTTTAGCTCAGGTCAATCTTTCAACTCCCTCCCAAAGAATTAAATTCTTCACTACTATTTAGTAGTTAATCAAAACATTCTTTACTTTATTAATGGGATATTTAAAACAAAATATTTTTGTATTTTGTGATTGTCCCAATGAGACCAGAGTTATTTTTCCCAATTGTATTTTTTTATTAAAAGCAAACGGAATTTAACGTAAAAAATTAAAAAAAATTTTAAAAGCTGAAGTGTAATTACTTGTAATGACTTGAAAAGCTTATCTCATGCAATCAGGTGGAAGCAGAGTTGACTTCTAACCGTGAAACAATGAAACAACTTCTTTTAGACATGGAGTCTCAGCAGACATTGAAAGTCACCATTGAGGAAGAGAACAGACAACTGACCCAGCAAATCATAGCAGCGGAGGCAAAGCTGCATAAACAAATGGAGGTAAAGATCTTTGACAAAGTAATAATCTTAGAGATTTTATTTTGGGATCAAGGCCTCGACTAAGAGCAAATGACTATGATAAAGGGATAAATTAGTTGAATATATGTTAGTGTAAATTACAAAAAAATTTAAAAAGGAAGAGAAAAGATGAAATTTAAAAAAAAAAATTTGCGATGATAGTTGTGTGGCTTTCAGTTGAGCAAATTTTAAAAGCTATTTAATTTGGTTGGGTCAAAGATCACCCTGAAGAGCCATTTATTTAATGTTAGATTTATTCTTTGTTAAAAATGTGTTGCCTTCCCGATATATTTTAATGGCCAAGTGATTAAAAGATCTTGTTTTAAATTATAGTTATTCAGAACCAAACTTATTAACAATTTAAAACCTATTGTAATTTTGAAAAAAATCACCTTGGTGTTGATATAAACATGTACACACCAACTAAGATACACGTGTGGAAAGAAAAAAAATTGCATTTAGTTTTTAAAGTCAATGAAATTGAATTTGAAAAAAATGTGATGGTTTCAAATGTGATGGTTTCAAATGACCTTTTGGTAAATATTTTATTGTTTTTGTTTTTTTAAATATATTTTCAACTGTGCCTAGTCTTGGATGGCCATGACTAAAAGAGAAATGCAAGCTGAACAGATGTATTCAAACCAAAATGCTGTTACAAAATCAGCCCAACAGCAAAGTGCATCAGAGAGATTTGAAAAAGGAGATGAGGCTTTATTCAGTTTCCCAGAAAATGTGGAGGATTTAATGAACATTGCAAAATCTTTGGAGGTTTGTGTTCATTGTGCAACTTCCTGTTTTTGTTTATTTGCTAGATCATTGGAATGTTATTTTGGAACTCTTAGAATCAGTATAGTATTAATTACTAGGTCGTTACCAGAGCAGCAGTTTCCATCCTGCCGGTTGTGACCCTAAAAAGGGGGCGGATGTTGTTTTTTTGGGGGTGGGCGGGGTGCAGGGATGCTATTTCCATTAATTATAAGAAAGATGTAGTTTTTCATTGATGAAAGCCTGGCAGTTGTATTTGTTTTTTTTGAATATGAGACAATATGCATATTAGCTCAAATTTGTTAGGAGCCACTTACCAGGGCAGGAATAATTCACCACCAGAACAATGTATAATTTTTTTTTAAAATGACGCTAAGAGTGAACTTGTTTTCTGATTTGTAGTTAAATAAGTTTCTAAAAAGTGTCTGTGGCATTTCTTAATTTTAATTGCAGATAAAATGCGAGAAAACTTATCCTTTAATGAGGTTATTAACATAAATTTCTATTTGACAGGCCAAGCAGAAGGAAGAAAGGACAGTTCAGGCACTCCATGTAGAATTAGATGAGTATAGAAAGAAAAATCAGTCCTTGCAGGAAGAAATGGAGAAAATAAAAACTCAGGTGAATTTATAAAACTAGAAATGTAATAACTCAGTCTTCATTTAAACCACTAGTTTTAAGCCTCACTACTCACGCCTGACACAATATTTTAAGCCCCACTACCCTCGCCTGACACAAGATTTTAAGCCCCACTACCCACGCCTGACACAAGATTTTAAGCCCCACTACCCATGCCTGACACAAGATTTTAAGCCTCACTACCCACGCCTGACACAAGATTTTAAGCCCCACTACCCATGCCTGACACAAGATTTTAAGCCTCACTACCCTCGCCTGACACAAGATTTTAAGCCCCACTACCCATGCCTGACACAAGATTTTAAGCCTCACTACCCTCGCCCGACACAAGATTTTAAGCCCCACTACCCATGCCTGACACAAGATTTTAAGCCTCACTACCCACGCCTGACACAAGATTTGAAGCCTCACTACCCATGCCTGACACAAAATTTGAAGCCTCACTACCCATGCCTGACACAAAATTTGAAGCCTCACTACCCATGCCTGACACAAGATTTGAAGCCTCACCACCCTCGCCTGACACAAGATTTGAAGCCCCACAACCAACGCCTGACACAAGAATTTAAGCCCCACAATCCACTCTTGACATAATAATATTTTAATCCTTCAGAATTTCCAGCATACTCTCCTGGCTGTTACTAAATAAAATAATCACACAAAATGTCAATAGTTGTTTTGGAAGTGAGCTTTTACCACATATCATGGCTGTTTTTGTGTTTTTTTTAAGTTGAGGAACACTTAAAATTGTCATATGCTAAAATTATTTTTTTTTTACATAATCAGAATGTTTACTGTCAGTGGAGCTTTATTTGATATTCTGAAAATGATTACATACAATGTAATCAACACATTTTCATTTATTGGGCTCAATAAAAGAATTTTACCATATCTTTTAAAGTTTTCATTAATGCAATTATTATTTTTGAACAGTTCAAAGATTTGACAGACCAACACAGGGAGACTGTATCTCTACTGAAAGAGGCACAAGCTCAAGGCAAGGAAGCTGCTGATAAACTTTCACAAGAATATGAGCAGAAACTGATGGAGATGGCTAAGAACAGACCTGACAACAGGGTAGGTAGAACTGTATTTAAAGTTGTGCTTGTGGCACTCTTGCTGGTCATCTCAAGACATGTGATAAGTTTAAAATGGATTGATTCGTCAAGCATTCTTTGCCGCCTGACCTCCACAGTGATAGAAATCTAAGAATTTCTAATAGAGCTACCCCCTCCCACCACTCAGGTCGTCGGACGGTTACCTCATTGGAGTTGCTGCAGCCTCCATGAACGCTCCATCTCCAACACTTTCAGGCTAATCTATTTTCTGTGACATTGCCTATGTTGGGCTTGACTATTGTCCTAGATTTGACCATTTTCTTTAAATGATTATAACATTCAAAGATGAGAACTGACTATGTTAAAGTGTAAACTTATCTTATGTATGTGTTTTAGATGGATGCCTCCCCCAGGGTGCAGCATTATGCTAATTGTCTGTGATCATAACTTCTTCCAGGCCATCCAAGCTAGTGACACTGAAGATATGTCCATACTGAGATCACAGGTTCTCACCCTGATTCAAGAGGTTGATGAGGCTCAGAATAAACTCTCTGCGGCCATGGAGGCCATCAACATGAAAGATACCAGGTGGGTATAGCCAGACGCTCCTCTGATTTGGGACGAAGTAATGATCGTATCAATACTTGGTGAACTCTTGACACAAAATGTTTGAAATGGATTTGAAAGTCAGAAAGTTCTTGACCCACCTTTGACAGTGTATCACTCACCACTACATGCAGACAAATTAACATTGTGATGACACTAACATTTTTGCTTAGTTTTAACGTGTCTGCAAAATTTGTTAATTATATTGTAATATAAACTATGTGGAAAAAAAATGCGCATTGGCCATTTTTTTTGTATTGCACTATTTCTTGTTAAAAATTTGAGAACAACCAAGTCTGTAACACTGAAATCCGTTGGGCCTAAAAAAGTTTAAGTACGTAGATGAGATGGGAGGAGTTATTAATTGTAAACCATGTTGAATAATTATATATCTCTTCTGTATCTATCATCAATGAATCAACTGTCCCTTCCCTGGGTTGTTTTCGTCACTTTTTTTACAGCTCTAAAGCAAAATGAATGAGTTAACATGAACTTGGGACTTTAAACAATTTTTAAACAGTGGATATGTGATGGTATTTGATGGTATGTGATTTAAATTGAAATCATCTTAAAATTTATTGTCAAGCTTGTAATACTTGATTTATTCTGATGAATTCTCTCTCTGATAAATTCTGTCTCTGACCTATTGTGTTGACCAGGATAAGAGAGCTCGATGAGATGAACTCCAGATTGAGGCTGGACTACCAGAGACACTGGCAGGAGTCCACCACACTGATCCAGCACTTGAGGTCACAGATCAATCAGCAGTCAAGGGCCGAGGCTGAGAACTTGAGCATAAAGTGAGGCTGCACTTACCTCCCCTTAACTAAAACCCATTCAGATTTCACAAGCCAATGACTTAAACTTGGCCATGTTTTAAACCTGAAGCTTTTTTTATTTTAAACTGTCATTGGTTCAAGGATTGAAACAAATTTAATTGTAAATGGCATTGAAAATTTATCATTTCCTAAAGACCAACCTCTACACATTGAAATGTAACATAATAATATCTATACCTTTAAACAAATGTATAATGAATAACACAAACCAAATAAGTTATTGACACCCCTCCTACCTCTCCCATCCCCACTGAGAGCCGTATTGCTATTTAACACAGTATAATCATTCTCTTGGACAGAAACCAACACCAGAAGCTGCAAGAGTCCTTCAGTAAGCTAGTGACAGACTACAAGGAGCTTCAAGAAACATTTGAAGTTTACAGGGTCCAAATGGTGAATAGTTTTTCTTACTTGCATTTAGACTCAGTAAGCAACACATAGCTTTATAGCATCTAACTTATATGTGGCAGTGGCAGGTACAGTGGTAACAAAATAGAGCATCTAACTATTGATGAAATGATGTTTTAAAAATTAGTAAAAATTGTTAAATTTATACGTCTGTTTCCTTTGTAGTGAAATATACAACAATGGCATTTCGATAAAAAATAACTCTAAACTTTATTAATTGAGTTTTAAATTTAGTTTGGAACCTTAAATGTATCTTCCCACAACAAGAAAGTTCCTAAGATATTACTTAAATCTATAAGTTTTAAGTCATCAATGTTAAAAATAGGAAATAAAACTCTAATCATTACTGTTATGTCCTGTGGGTATATTAAAAAAATTGATATATATTTTAACAATACCCATACTAAAAGGGAAAGTGTATGAAAATTGCTAATGCATTTCTTCACCTTGTAGTGGATGAACTAAATTTTAGTTTGAATTTTATCTCTTGACAGGAACGTCAGTCCTCCTATCCCAGACAACCAAGCAAAGAAGCAATGGAAGAAATTAACAGACTGACTGCCCAGGTGATTGCGGGTGATGAAGCCATTGCCTATAGGGATGAACAGATAGAAAAACTCAAGCAGAGGTCAGCACTGGAGTCTCAGCAAGATGAAGAGATCCAGCTGCTGAAATTTCAGGTGAAGATGATTAATGAGGAAAATTTTGTGGGCTTAAAATATTCTAGGAAAAAGCAGAAAAAGGTATGTGGAAGATTGAAATAGACCGTACAATAAAAGAACAATGTTTCCGCTAAGAACCTTCCGAAGCAGACAGGACAAATTAAGATAAAAATGAAAGTCCCATAAGTGGTGGCCATTAATGTTGTTGCAGGAAGTTGGGTTTTTCAAAACCAAGATTACGCAGGAAGTAAAATATTTTATGTATTGTAATTGTTAATGGGAAAAATAAGATTTTAATGGACATAATGTTTTTTTTTATCTTTGTAAAATTTAAAAAATAAGAAAAGAAACACAAGGAAATTGAGGATCACTATTGATTACTTCCATATGGTGATATTGTACAGAAAAGATGAATTAATTTGTTTTCCTTTGTAACTCTCACTGGTGTGTTAGTGCAGGAAATCGGTGCCTTGATGGAAACATCTGATATGCCTTGGCGTTTATCTGGGATGAGACCAGGGAAAGTTTGCCCTGTTAAATGTCACAAAGATGTTCAGTGAACATATCCGATAATCTTCCTCCAGAGACCAGGGAAAGTTTGCCCTGTTAAATGTCACAAAGATGTTCAGTGAACATATCCGATAATCTTCCTCCAGAGACCAGGGAAAGTTTGCCCTGTTAAATGTCACAAAGATGTTCAGTGAACATATCCGATAATCTTCCTCCAGAGACCAGGGAAAGTTTGCCCTGTTAAATGTCACAAAGATGTTCAGTGAACATATCCGATAATCTTCCTCCAGTTTGCCCTGTATAACAGGAGCTGAGGAATGATCTTAGTAGAAAATCTCCCCTTTTATTGTCCTGTCTTTCTATTTCAAGCCTGCACATACCTTGTTTTGCCATTTCCTTCTCTCAGCTTGAACGCAGTCCTTCATTTACTGTGTAAATATTCTACAATATTTTTTTCCCCAAAATTGTTAATCTTAACTAGATTACTGTAATTTGTTTGGAAAATTGAAAATTGAACTAAGTTAAAAAAAAAAGTGCCAAAAAAAAAAATATTTTTTTGTCCAATAGGCAGATCTGTATAAGAGTGACTTTGCTGCTGAGAGGGAAGCAAGGACAAAACTTGCTGAGGAGAGGACAAAACTGCTAGATGAGCTGCAGCAGCTTCAAGAGTACAATAGGACCCTAAAGGAGGAGCTGGAGGGCTACAACCAGAGGCAGATCAACGACATGCAGCGTCGACTCCGGGATGGGAGCATGGTGGGTTTTAAACTTTTCATGGCTGCTTGCTGAACGATGCAGATGGAGAGAGATCATTCTCAGTGCTCAATAAAACTATGAACAAACAGTAGAAATGCTCAATGGCAACATAAACACATGTGTTTTAACTGTGAAATTAAGTCACTTTTTTGGGGGATTCATAACTAATCTTAACACTAGATTGATGGTATCCGAAAAAAGTAACTGAAAAATAACTAATTTTGATCAGATTTTCAATATTTTTGTTGCCCAATATTTTATTTTTTTACAGGGCTTCAGCGAGTCACTATACATAGTTTTGACTTTAAGTGGTTAGCGTGTATGACTTTTATCCCTAAAATTAAATCCTCTAGCAGTTTTTCTGCGTCACAAATTTAACATTTAAAAAAAAAGCTGCTTCTGAGCAAACCAATTTTATTGTTTCAAATTCTTGTCAGAATCAGGCTGGAGATACTGCTGACAGATTTAGAACCACTGTGCCTCCAAGCTATAGACATTCAGGCTCGACTTGGAACCACATCCAGGTATTAATAAGTTTACCAGCATTCTTTCCATAATCATGTTGGCGTGCATTGATTCATGACTCTATGTTCAAAAGCACAAATATGTTTATAATCTACAGAAACAAATCATTAAGGAAAATATTACTTTTTAAATTATATAAATTTGTATTCACAAGACAGTTCTATTAAATAAAAGGTTTCTAAATGTAGTCATTTTGACCTTTAACTAAATAACTCTATTAATGATAGACCCTTCTTTATGGATGTGGTCCACAAACTTGAGAGAAAGCACCATTTACCCAAAAACAGAGAGACGCTGAGGTTGATCACAGAAAGATCAAAAGATCATCACATGAAAGCTTCGAGTCTTTCAATGCTGGACATGTTGGATTACCCCAAAATAAAAAAGCTGACCGTCGAGCGAGGCAAGGGTTTACCCAGCCACAACCAAACTGATTGATAACCCAAACGGGGATAAAATTGTGGTTAAAGACCATTTTCAGGGAAAACGGTTTAAGAACTTGGTAAACTGAGACATGGCTCGAAAGCTTAAAGGAACATGCCACACACACCTCAAAAAAGGGGATCAATGGTAGAAATTAAAATGCTCTCCCCAGAGCCTCATTACCCAAATGAGAACAGAAGCCTGTTCAACTTGTAGCTATTTAAATAGGTTAAAATTATCTTCGGGACCAAAGCTGCCGTCACTGCGGGCAGGTCCAGAGACAATTGTGCTCTTGCCGGCCAAGCACCCAACACTTAATGAGTGGCCGAGTTGTCAACAATTTCTTTTACAAGGAAAAATATTAAAATGACAATCACAATAAAATAATGTGGCCCTCAGTAAAACTAAAACATAATACAGTTAATTAATATAAAATTGCATATTTTGTTCGATAAAGAGTTAAACTTTAACCTCATTAATTTTATTTGTGTAGAATTAGTACAAGTGAGTCAAAAATCCATCTCAAAGACAATAAAAATAGGAAAAAGGGCCGATTTTCCCGGTTTGGACTACCTAGATTAAGGATAGCGGGGATGTTGACTGTTTTCTCATCTAATAATCCCTGGATTTTTATCGGTCTTTGTCTTAATTTTTTAGGAGAATCGTACAAACTTAGCTCAAGGAGGACCACGTCCTGAAGAGGATGAGGAGCTGCAGAGTTTCCAACAGTTTGAGTGTCCTAAATGTAATGCCCAGTTCCCAGATATTGACTCCTTACAACTGCATGTTCCTGACTGCATAGATCAATAGTGACGAGCTAGACGGTGACAGATTTGGTTCTATGAATTGAAAGTGCCACTATGGTTTCACTATATATATACATGATGTAAATACAGAGTAGTTTTAGTTTTATTTATGACAAGACAACTGGGCTGTGATAGAGGATTGGAATATGCGATTTAAATACAGTTGTTAATTGACTTTATATTGCTTGTCATATTTCTCATGAACATGGTTCCTCATCTGAAACTCCCAAAGTAGTTTGCAAACTTTTTAAATTTTTTTAAATGGGTTATTGACTTCTTTTAAGTGTTGAAGAATCATTTTATTGAAGCAGTCAGTGGATGTTATTAATGATTTGTAATTAATTTTAAGCAAATTAACCAACTCTTAAAATCTGACATGCTTGTCAGCTCCATCTGTTACATTTTGATACCAGCCAATGTAGTAGTAGTAGTTCTTTAAATTTAAAAATAATTGTAACATGTTAAAATATTTTGGTAGTTTTAAAAATATTTTGGCCATTATTCTATTTTGTTATGCACATTTTTTATATAAAACATTGCAATTAATCGATTGATTATTTAAATTAACATTCAGTTCTCCGAAATTTCATTCTATCCCAATGCAATGAATATTGAGACATTTTGACTTTAAGAGTTGACCTTAACTCTTGTAGATAAATTTTCATAAACTTTATAATTTAAGATTACTTTGAATAGGATTCATCAGTATTATTTGGTCATGTACTGTTATCTTTATGTTTGGCATTGAACATGGTTGAAGCCAATTGTCAAATTTTAAAAAAAAATGTTTTTCTGATATTTATTTTAAAAGATTGGTACCCTACCAGAATTTCTTATAATTTTTTTCATCTCCCTGATTCAAGTGCAGTTTTTAAATAAAAATAATGTCACTTCTTGTTATTTTAAAAAACATGTTTAAAGAATTAATGTACAGTCAGTAGATGTTTCTCAAAATATCTGGTCCAGTTGTTTTTTTAACCTATTTAGTTGAAAACTCAAATTTGTAAATGTTAACTGAATGAAGTAGAAAACTCCACAAAGAAAGTTGAAAAAAGTTACCCTCCAAACCTAAGTATGTGTTTCATTTATCAATACGGCATAACTTACAGATGCAATCACCAGTTGTAGAGGGTGACAAAAGGTTTGGGGAGGGTGACTAATGGTTTGGTTGTGAATGAGAGCTTGGAAATCATTATGGAAGACCCTAAAGGACAGCTCACCTGACTGACCACACAAAATGTCTTGTGTTATGTACATTTAATGCTTGTTGACTTCTGTTAATTTCATAACTGTTTATTTAATAGAGTTTTGTTGCATGAAGCTGTAATAATTTATGGCAGGATTTGCATTGGTTATTTTAATTTCAGAGCATTGTAAGATAAAATTTTGAAAACCGCTAGTCTACGCCGAGCAACTTAGTTGTCAAGCTGTTTGAAATTGAGCCTCATGGCATAAATATTTTCTGGTTATGTTTTATATCAAGACAATGCCAATCTTTACACTATACATTTTAGACATTTAAAACACCATTAACAATCATGTATGGTACCGGTATATAGTATAGTTACATTTCAAGTCACAGAAAGTTGCCGGTACTATATATTTCATACTTTTAATCTGTATTAATTTAGATGGTATGTGCAAATTGGAAATTGCTGAAGTAAAAACTTTAAAAAGTTGATTAACATATTTTTAAAAAATATTTTAAATTGTTTCTTCTTTTAGATCAGCTTTCAGAGCACTTTAACTTACTTTAAGTTAATAGTATCATAACCAGAATTTCACCCTATTCTTTGGTAATTCACATTTGTTGTAAGACTGTTCAATCATGTCCTTCATAAGATGTCTTCTGTTGCTTTATTTTGGAAAATACAATGCATTTCTCATGAACTTTAAGTCAAAGTTTAATGTCAAATTTCATTTCCAGTAATGGTTTGAATTTGCAGCCTTGATTTTTGAAATTTTTTTAAAGATTAAGACTGTACCATACCATAAAAATTATGTGTGTAAATATATTTTTCTGTCCCCTGAGTAAGGCTGTTAGATAAAAAGTTATTGCTTGTTATTTTCTTTAGTAAAGTTACACCCTACTTCATAATACCTGTATTATACTTTGTATCTTTGAACAATGGACTTTATGTATATTGACATTGCAAATCTTAAAATAATTTTTTACTCATAAGATTACATTTAAATGATTTCCCAATTATATAATGAATTGTGAATATTAATTGGGGCGTTACTAGGGAAAAAAAAGTATCACACAACTTAAATCAAATGAAAGTAAAAATCATATTTTTCTGTACTTGTATAAAATAAAGTTGATTTGTTTTCCTATTACCATATTGATTGTGCTGTACTGTGTAGAAAAAATATGAAGAAGATGACTTTGCTTTATTTAAACGTCATTACCTTCTAAATTTATGTTTAAATTACAAAATCATGACTATGAAGAAAAGTATCTATTTCAGTGAAACCAAATCAGTGTTTTAAGCTTTTGAAATCATTTTGTTACAAATTTAATCAGCTTCTTTAGTGTTTTAATGCCAAAATGGGCACACAAAAAAAAATACAATGTCCTAAAATTGAGTTTTAACACAGTTTTTTATGGTGTGCCTCATTAAAAAGAAAGCAAATAAGATTTGTATTTATTGACAAAATTAAAACAAAAACTTGTCACTTGTTCATATTAAATTGATTCATGAAAACTGAAAATAAAACTCATTCCAAATAAAATTTTGTTATTGGGTTATTACTGAAGGCAAATTTTAAATAAATTTTAAAAAGCTAATACTAATAATGACTGCAACAAAAAAATATCTTCTCTTATGTAATATTTTAATTTTCAGCAAAAATAGTCACTTTCGAGATTAAATCATCATAATTATCATGACATTACAATATGACAGCTACCTCAGCAAAAGTCTATTTTTTGTACAAGTAGAACCAAGCAAGAGTTATACATTATCAGGTAGTAGTAGTAAACCTCAAACAAAACCCTTTATCTCAGCTAATTTACATGTCAATCTTAAACTTTGATTGTTCATTTTTTGGGTGGGACCCATGCCTCTATCTTGGGCCTTGTTGTGCTGTATGGGACATACTCTTTGCTTGACCCAGTCAAGTTTTCAGTGTGATCTGCCATCCAATTCCTTTTTGGCAGAGGATGTGTAGATGGGGGCTCATCGGTAATATACTGCAACCATCGATGCCTGGAACAGGAATTACATTTTGTACACTTGATTGATTTGAAAATGGTCCATGGCTTTTTATAAGTTAAACAAGCCAATCTTTTCCTTAAAACTGTAGTGAGCCAAAAATTATATTTATGAAGGAATCCATCTTAAATTATGAAAGACAATCTTTCTAACACCAGTTCAAATAACCAATGATAATTATTCTTACTTGTGTAAAAAAAAATTGATTGATCAGAAAGTTTATAATGTACTCACCACTCTGGTGGTACCTGACTGGCATCAAAGTCAAAGCCAACAGATGGGGGAAATGATACCCATCTATTCTTCCCTGGATAAAAATGTTTGGGAAAATTAATTTTAACATTTACAAGAATTAGAACTTCAAATTAGAGTTGAACCAGGGCAATGGATACTTCTAGCTACCATTGAAGATTTAAAACAAAGTGGAATCATGTATGGTATGAAGTTTAGTTACAAATAATACACATAGATTGTCTACAACAGACAGGGGTCTCAAACTCGCAGCACGTGGGCTATTTGTGGCCCGCAAGACGATATTTTGCGGCCAGCTACATGACAGCAAAGTTTAGTGTAATGTGGCCCGCGAGTTTTCCCCATTCTCATATCTATAATGTGACTCTCCGCTAATGGTAAAAACTGTTTTAAAACCAGACAAAAGGTTTTTATTCTATAGCATTTCATGAGACAAAGGTGGCCAAAGTGTGGTTTTGAGAAAAATGTAAAAAGTCAGTTAGTGGGTAATGCACAACCATAATTGTTTAAATCGTTGCAAACTGATAAAGTATTCTTAAAGGATACTGTTAACGAGTGAGGGAAATTCCGAGCATGTCAGCCTTGGTTCCATTTAAAAACAGGGTTAGTCAAAAATTCCTTTTCTACTATCAAAAAATGAAAATTCATTCACCCTTCCTTCGCATCAATAATTCATGAATATGACCTGCTCCTGCCAACTGCTTGACATGTTTTACCATTTTAAGCCTTCATGGAGAAGGATGGGGTTATTTTTCCTGTACTAAGTGATCTCAAATGGCTCATGAACTTGGCTTTTCTTGTTGACGTTACTCAGGAGCTGAATGTACTCAACAAGAAGTTACAAGGCCAGTGGCAGCTTGCCTATGACAATGTCAGGGCATTCTGCCATTTCCCACAATGAAAAGAACTCATAGATTCAGGAACACCATTCAGCAGTGAGTATACTGATGCCATTGCAAAGCTACAGGAAGAATTCAATCACATGTTTTTAGACATCAAAACACAAAGAGCCACTTTTCAACTTTCTGCTGATCCTTTCTCCTTTATAGTGGAAGATGCGCCCCACCCCAACTTGCGCTTCAAATGGAGCTGATTGATCTTCATGCAATTCTAAGTTCAGGGAGTGAATGGAGAAACAGACAAGCATGGATAATTTATAAGAGCATAGTCCTCCACCTTAACTGAGATTTCCAGGTTGCTCAAGCGAATAATGTGCCTTTTTTGGGAGCACCTATCTGTGAGAAAAGCTCTTTTCCCACTATGAAATTTAACAAGTCAAAGTTCAGGGCCAAACTTACTGATAGCATCTTCAAGCTATACTGAGGGTCTTAGTTGCCTCCTCACTCATGCCAAATGTTACTAAGCTGCCAGAAGCACTTTCAGGTCTCTGGCAACAAGGAGTAGGAGGAAGAAAGTCAACCCTAGTTCTTGAGAACCCTTAATATTTTATTTTGTTATTAATAAAGGTTGGGTAGAATGTACCAGTTGTAAGTTGTACTTCATTTAATTTGTAATTGCTCTTTTTTTTTCTTGATGCGGCCCAGTCTCACTCAGACTCTACCTCCTGCGGCCCCTGGATGATTTGAGTGTGAGACCCCCTGGTCTACAAGAACATAATATGATGACACTATAATTATAATATTACGATTTTACCAAGCCAAAATATAATGTAAAAAAAATATATTAGGATTTTAATTCTTTAATCTAAAATTAAAATAACTTACCATAAAAGTAGTAATTATTTTGGTAGTATTTGTTGCCGAATTTGTCTTCTCCTATACATGTACCCCATTTTAAGTCATCATGTCTGTAACATATATAAAACAATGTTACCATATGGCTGCTAAATGAAATGGCAATGCAGAGATGATTTTAAATCATTATAGATGTCGCTTAATGCAATATATAAAAAATTGAATTAAAAAATCATCAAATCTAGTCCAGCACAAAAGATAGGTTGATGTGTATCTTTGATAAAGACATCAAGTTATTATTATTTTAAAATTTATCATGACTCAGACTATTTATTACACGACAGTTATAATACATACTAGGACTAAATAAGGTCAAGGTATTTTGAGAAAATACCAGGTGGATCCAAGTGTTAAAAAAAAAAGAGTTAACTTCTCATTTTCTATAAACAATAGGCTTACAGACAGTTCTACACCCTACCTGCTGGCCTTTAAACAACTGGCCTACAGACAGTCTTTTACCACACCCAAAGCTCTTTATTCATATAATAGACACCTCACTCCCAAAAAAAAAAATTACACTGCACCCGGTTAAGCCTTAGTAGTGTAGATTAATATTTTATGACAATATTAAAAATAAAATTTGTGGCTAGAAAGAAGACATGTCTAACTTTACCCAGTGCTTTTTGGCAAATGTTCAAGTTAATCAAAGTAACTTTACAGTCACATCAACTTAAAATTAATTTATACCAAATATCTATTTTACTAATATTATCAATAACAGCTATGGTGGAGTTAGGTTTACTAATCGTAAAAGCAATAGGAGAATAAATTATTTAACCTAACATAATAGGGGCTAGGATTCGGTTAGTGGTAAAGTCGGCAATGTCTTCAATGGTGTAAATAATACAGGTCATGGAGGGTTCCCACATCAACTTTAATTACATACCCAGTTTTCAAAAGATTTCAATTAACTTGATTAAAGTTTTTTCTTATCATTTTTGTCTTGAAATTGTGGGGAGAGGTCTCCCTAGAAAAGTATGTTGAAATGTACAATGAAATAGCAACAATCGAAATGAAAGGCCATACAATGCGGCCATCTTCACTGGTGATTATCTAGTATCAGCAGGATGAGTTTATTTTTTGATTTCTTTAGAACCATGTGTGTTGAATTTAAGTAAAAACAAAATAAAAATTTCATTTTAATATATTTAATTTTATAGGTTAGTTTTTGATAGTCAGATTTAGTTAATGATGTGAATAATGTTCAATGAATAGGAAAATTAACATACACATCCTGCAGGTCCAACAGTTCATCTAGTCACCCAAAGTCAGTTTAGTCCAGGGATTCCCCACAGTTATGTTACTGCGCTTACCTAGTTATTTTATGTAGGGTTAGACAACTCGGCAATCCCCCAGACGCCAGTTCCAAATTCAAAACATTAGTAAAACACATTGAATGAGTAGTTACTTTAGCAGTTCATTTATGTTTTACCAAGTACATGGTCAAATGTGATAACAACAACTTCAAGTACTGTCCAAAAACAAGTTCTTTGTTGCCGAGTGCCACTGGAAAGCACACAAGTGTTCCACCTTAATGAACTAGAAACCAATTCGAACACTCAATTTGGTAAATTTTGTTATAGTTTACAATGGTGTTGCAACTTTCAATGCTTTCGAAAAGCATAACATGCTTGCATTTCACATTTTAAACTCAATATAAAGTTATTATGTCGATTTTATGTGTGCAAGCCCACAGTTTGAAAAAATGACCCGGTGCATATAGGGCACATGGACCAAAGGCATATCCATGGGTAACCAACATGTCAAACTAAAGAAAAGAGACACTGACAGTTATAACATGGGTGTTCGGTAAGTCACACTAGCTAAAGCATGCTGTCATACAGTGGTGCCTTCGGCGTTATGTCTTAAGTTTGCAGAATGTTTTCTGGCAAAAATTTATTTGCAACATGAACCGGTGCTTGTGGTCTGCCCACCATGGTATTGTTTATTTGGTAATCTACCACTTGAGAATTTGTTATGAAAAAAAATCATAATCATGTTGTTCAGGTTTGAAGTTCTATTTAAACCAATATTGTTTTATTGATCCCAATAAATTGAAATGTTTTTATGACATTGTACATATTCATTTCAGCACATAGTTTATATAAAATTAAAAAACAACATTATTAAAATAGAAAAATTTTAAAAATTTAATGCATGAAAAGAAAATAGCTAGAGTTTATATCATCTCCAAGAAAATGATAGTGGGAAAAAACTTATGCAAATATGAAGGTAAAAGATTGCAGCTTGAGCCAAACTGTCTTTTCAGGTTCAGTTTTCCCTTGGCATTCATCCACAAATTTTCAACATTCTGTGTGTGGACGCAAGTGTCATTTGGATTGACGAAATTATTAAGATGAATAACAAAGGAGTGTTAATAGATTCTGATCTGGTTTATGTTTACATAAGGTGCACATCCGTCTGATACAATAAGTGAGCCTTGAAGTATATAATTATTATAATATAGCTCTCTATCATACTCTATGCACTCCTGTAATGTGATATCGCATGTAGGTCTTGTTAGCCCACTCTCACTTTCAAAGCCACAAAAATCCCAGCGGCCCTCTCGCCTCTCCACTGTAACTATTAATTTTTAATGTACATCAGTAGAAGAATAACTGTTTAAATAGCAATTCAAACTCGAACCACAGGATTTTTTCACAACCGACGCTGACGTTGTAAGAGTACTGTTTATTTTCTATTGTTACAATTACAAGCAGAATCTTAGAGAAGTCATTAACTCTAATCTTTCTAACAAAAAGTTTGAAAAAGTATTATATTAATTTAAATATTATGCATTTTGAATTTGGGATGGGGGTTCGAACATTCGAAATATTGCCAACAACTCAATAGTCTATAATCTATAACTATATATTTTTTAGGACTAAAAGAGCCCACTAAAATCAGATTTTGAATTAAGATTAGATTGGGCTAGGTGGTATTAGTAAATAACTTAAAACAAGATGATAAGTAATTTAATATTAATACTACTACTACTACAAAGACTTGAAGTCAGTACTGTAACTGTAGTAGTATGTCTGTATTACTAAATCAACAACTAGTAACTTGAAGTATGCTTAACTCATACTACTCACAGTACTGAAATACTGAGGATTATAGTTTACTTTTAAAGCAGTTTTACTTGTCTAAACTAACAAACTTATTTACTGTTACTGAGGAAAATATTCATTTGATTTTGAATTTTAAAAATATTTCATTAATATTAATTATTTTTAAAAAATGTCACGGCATTGTTGTTTCTTCTGTAATGAACAGTAGTGAAAAGAAACACTTCTCATTCCAAACTACGAAAATTACCGAAAGAGTTTCAAAAAACTACCAATAACACCATTATTTTGTCTCAGAATCTTGTAGGAATTCACTATAACAGATCGAAACGAAGCCATTGTTGGCTAGGACGACCTTGTAAGCGAAACAAATTACCGTTTGGTTTGTGCTTAAAACGTATGATCCAAAACATGCAAGTAGTATATCAATTTATGGCCATAAGATTAATGACCAACATCATGATTAAATGTGTATTTTTGAATAAGAATTAAAAATGTAATAATAATTTTAAAATGTATTTAAAATATCTTTTATTTAGTTTAAATTGCTCATTGAAATGCTACAGTACAGTAAACGTTGCCTTGAATTGCGTTTTTATATTCTTATCGAAGCTGGAAACCAGAGGCATAGCGTGGTGGGGGCAGAGGGGGGACAGATGTCCCCGGGCGCCAGCTAGTTAGGGGCGCAAAAATATGCTTTGATATTATTTTATTGATGAAAATAATCGGTTTGAGAGTTGAAAAAAAGAAAAATGGATCTTGTCCCCGGGCGCCAAACACCCTCGCTACGCCACTGCTGGAAACACTAGGCTGGTCACCTTCGGAGCAGGGTTTCTTTCAGCTATATCTTGGGGGGGGGGGGGGACCCAAGTGCCCCCCCCCCGGGGGGAATTTCTGAAAGAATCACTGCTTCGGAGGAACAACGACGACTATCCAGGCTCTCCAAAATGTACAAGATGAATAATGGTTTATAACACTGCTCCAGCAACAGAAACTCATCCCTCTCCCCCATACTCCATAGACAGCGTCGAGGCCATGACAGGCCTCATTCCAGCAAAAAGCCAGTATAGGAACTGCTCATTCCTGCCAAAGACAATCAGGGACTGGAACAATTTTCAAAAGAAACAGTTGAGGCGACAACACTTGACACATTTGCGTCTATGCCTCAGGCCTTCAAACCCCCAGTGCATGATACACTCACAAAGTAGCCCTTTCAACCAGTGAAATGTCCAACTGTGAAATGAATCAACGCCAGGCACAGCCAAAATGATCAATAAATTGATCTATAGAAGAAGAAACCTATTTTAAATTTCACTAGGAAAATAAAGCATTTTTGAATAAAAAAAAAAAAAAAAAAAAACAAAAAAAAAAAAAAAAAAAAAAAAAAAAAAAAAAAAAAAAAGAACTGGGTTCGCCTGTATCGGACGGGCTGCCAACGAACGCCCATTCACGGGTGCAATCCCACTACTGCGAGACACGGGGACTTTTGCCTGCTGGGTTTCCCCCCTGAGCCGGTGCGTCCCTCCTTAGTCAACCTGGAGATCTCGGGCTCCCCCAAGATCACCATATTGATGCCGAGCTTAGTGCGGACACCCGATCGACATGGCACGCCCGAGGACAGAACCCCCGCCCTCAAACCGTCCACCAGTCCAAGCCTCCAAGTAGCTGGATTACAGGAGCACGCCACTACTCCCGGCGAAGATATATTGAAAATTAAAGTATATATACCAAATATTATTATCCACGACTTTGTCTGGTGTTATTAATTTTGTTAAGGTTATTTTAATTAAATTTATTGTTATTATTGATGATATTTATCATTAAGAGCTAACAAAACTGCCTTTATCAAGCAATTTTTCGATTTTGACAAGCCTCGTTTTGACTTTGTTCACGCGTTGATCGTCAAGGGAAGCTACTAAAAGAGAAGATGAAAGAGTACTTTCATAGTTGTCTCCTTTTATTGTAAAAATACTCATAACCCTGTGATAAAAATTTATTTTAATTAGATATAATTAATTGTTATGCCTCCGCTTCACGCGTTTAAAGTAATATTATAATTAAGTGAAAATAAGTATAGTGAATTCAAGTACCACATTTCAATATATTTTTTCTAAAAGAGCAAAAATAAGGGCATCAAAAAAGTATCACTTATGTGGTTGGGTAACAGTTTAGTCATTAAGTTTCAAAGGTTTAAAAAAAAAAAAAAATATTTAAGATAATCGATAATCTTAATAGTCCTAGAGCCACAAAAATTCCACTCTGTAATATATATAATATGTACTCATCCAACCTGCAGAGACGATATTAAATCTAGAATAACAATTTATTTATCGTGCCTCTTACATCAAAACCTAATAAGAATTATTGTAAGAATTATCATACTGGTTTCCAGCAGTTAGGCAGTTAGGACTAAATTTGACTTCCGGGCTTAAATAAATAAGCTGTGTTTAATGTTATAAACCAAGTTAATTGAAGATAAACTAACAGTAAAATTCTTCTCATATTTGTAAGGTTGTAAACTATAGCACATACAACAAATGTTGATGTTTGTGCTTTTAACAAAGGAACAGAAAATTTATTTTTTTAAAATAATGAGACAACAACATTCATGTTTTCATAATTTTGTTTCAAACTTTATTTTCAAACAATATGTAAAATAGTTACGGTATCCGATATAGTTGAAATGCAGGCTTTTCAATATATATTTAAGTTGC